GGGGGGCGCGCCGGCGTCTGGCCAGAGGCCGAATGCGGGTAGAAGTCCCGCAGCAGCTTCTCCGCTGTGCGCACGCCATGCTGCTCCAACTCCTTCCTGCTGGAGAAGCTGCGGGGGTGTTAAACACGGGCTGCCCGCCCCCAGGCATGGCCCTCAGCAGTCTCGGCCTCCCCAGCCTGCCCCGGCAGCTGGCCTCTGCCCCTGCAGGCCCTTACTTGCCCTCGGCCACCAGGCTCTCAAAAGCGCCTCCTCCCAGGACCTCGTTGTCTGGGTTCAGGCAGATCTGCACCATGTGGGAGGTGGCGCTCTGGCCCCACGTGCTGTCCTTGCGTGCCTTGTTTAGGAACGTCAGGGCTTCGTTGGGCTGTCCCGTGTGCCTGTTACGGAGGAAAAACCCAGTCAGCAAGGGGAGCGGAGACCCCGGGCGTGTGGGGACACACGGGCCCACTCTGAGTCTGCACAGAGCAGGGGCTGGATGGCCGAGGTCCGCAGCTCGCCATGCCAGAGGCTAGATTTCCACTCCCCTGTGCTGAGCAAGAGTCTGGCCAACCTTCCAGGGAGGGCCTCCCCTGCACGCCTGCCGCTCGACACACCCACGCGCCACTCACCAGCAGTAGAGGCCTCTGCAGTAGTTGAACCCTGGCTCCAAAGGCACCCGGCTGGACGTCTTCTTGGCCAGTTCAAAGAAGGCAGGGGCGTCTTCGAGTCTGCCACTTCTTCGTAGCAGATCAATTAATTTATCCAAAACCGCGAAGTTGTCTGTAACAAGAGAACAGAAATCTCCAGGCTACAAGAGCCCACAGCTGTGGCAGGTGGGAGTGCCATGCCTGGCAGGGAGGGGAATGGGGTGCTGGGCCCCTGGAGTGAGCCAGGAGACACTGTCCATCCGGGCTGAGCAGGGACAGTCCAGCAGCTCACCCCTTCCAGTGCTGAATACAGCAATGCTTCAAACTAGTAACCATGCCAGCTCACAGGGAGCTGGCATTTGTAGGTCACCTGACGCCAATTGTTTTATCTGCATATGAATTAACTGCAGGAGAGGTGGTTACTCTTATCGTGCTTGTTTTACAGATAAGAACTCCAAGGGACCAGCAGTTAGCCTATGTGGCTGGACTCCCATGTAGTCAACCGCGGTTCGAGTCCTGGACCCGGTGGCGTATACTCACACCGGGTGCGCGTGCGTGCATGCCCAAGTTCCCGAGAGGAGAATGGAGAAGGGATTGGAGTGTGGCCATCTCCCTGGGGGTGATTTCTCGCTTTCTGTCTCTCTTTCTGGCGAGCACACACGCCCTGTAGCAAAAACTTCTCAAAAAAATAAAAAAGAACTCCAAGGTATAACACCGCAGTTGCAAAGGTTACACAGCTGCTAAGTGTAGACCAGGGTTCAGACCCAGGAAGCCTGACTCCAGGACACACATTCCCACCCCCTGGGACCTGCTGGGCCATGGGCAGACCTTGCTGTGGGGCTGCTGGGCCTCCTGGCCGAGTCCTAGGGCTGGTTTTCCCCAGCAAGAGGGGGTGGTTTTAGGCTGTGGTGAACGGGAATGGAGCTGCCTACCAGGGGAGACTTTCCAGTCCCATCTGTGTGGCCGTGACCTCAGAAGGGGACAGTGTTGAGTCCCAGGGGCTGTGACTTGGGGACAGACAGGCTGTCCTGGGTCCAGTGCCAAGTCCTAAAACCAGGGCCTGGCGCCTTGGACTCGGGAAGGGCCAGCACGTTCCCGCTGGGTCTTTATCAGCTTCCTGGCTCCCGGGGAACAATCAGAGAGGCAGGGGCTTCCTCTGCCCAGTCAGGAAGGAGGGGCGTGGGCCGGCCCTTCTCCTTCTCCAGGACGGCAGCCTCTGCGGTGGGGCCTCGAGGGCCGACGTACCCGGCGCCTTCTCCAGGATTCGGTGGTAGAGACTGACGGCCGCTTCGTATTTCTGTTTTCTAAACATCAGGTCAGCCATGATCTATCAGAAAGCACAGAGGGAATTCCCGACGGCAGCTTGTGGGGGGCACAGGGGTGCGTGGGGTGAGGTCAAGTGGGGGCAGTAAGGAGGTAGGAGGACTTTGAAGGCAGCCTCCTAGGCCCCGGGAGGAGATGGCCTGGAAGGAGCTCAGGCCTCCACCCAGAAGGTGAAGACCACCCCAGGAAGGGAGCCAAAGGAACTGGGCCGAGCACGGCTGTGGGAAGAGAAGGCCAGGGGTGACCAGTGGGGCCTCCCACAGCTCACAGAGCGGCCCTCCACCCAGGCCTGACAGCTGCCACTCCAGTAACGGTAGGGGGTCACACCTCTCCGCAGGGCCTCTGCTCAGGGACTGTCCCTGGGAGGTCTGGGTGGTAGGGAGGAGAGAGGCGGAAGGGGAGGGGGTTTGCCCGTGCTTCCGGGAGCCCCAGGGACCTTGCCTTCACCAGCAGCTGGGGGCAGCGGGTGTGGCTTCCCTGGAGTGAGTCTCACCCCTTCCCCTGAGACTGGCCAGGGAG